CTGCTCAAGCGTTTACATACGTTTTGCAACAAATGCCCTCTAAGATGACGTTAAGACATTGCGCAATTTACAAATTCTCATCGCGCTCTTTGCTACTGAAATTGCATGGTACATTGCATTGAGTTGTGCAAAGTAAAATATAAGCCAACTTTAATGACAGCGACCTTTCCGGTGGCTGTAAGTTCATCAATATATGAAGCCGACACGACTTCAAACCCACGGCTCTAAAGATCCACATATAAACTTTATAGAAGTCGGATAAGGTTGGGAATGCGAAGTCCGAAGTCCGAAGTCCGAAATTGTAAGTAGGAAGTCCGAAATGAAAAGCTTTCGAGAATCGCGTTTCTATCCCATTACTAACCGGAATAAATAAATAAATAAGTAAATAAATAAGATTGTCGGTTCTAGGATGGCGTATCCACTTAAATTTCGCAGTAAGATTGCTGTTTTTGTCAGTCCCCTGGGTTAACAAGAATCGCCTGAACAGAGTCAAATTTCATTTACACGCTCTATTTCATGTACGTCACATTCAAAAAGTAGTCTATATACATTCTGTGAAGAACGCTGGGGGGAAAGGCGCCGCCTATTTCCCTTTCGTAATTGGTCGTTGCCATTTTCAACGGACAAGTACCACAAATGGTAACCGATAATCTCTGGAATTATTTGTTTATTTATTTATTTATTTACTAAGAACCCCGATAACTCAAACTCCCCGCTAACCTGAACTAAGTCCAATTTCACTTTGAATTCACTCTAACTTCCTGACCAGTCATTTTTACTCAGTTAACTCGATCTCGGAAAACTCGAATTCTCCGCTAACTCGAACTAAGTTTCCTTTCCCATGATCAAAAAGTCGCTATTAATTTACCCCGATAACTCGAATTCTGGTTCTTTGAACTCAATTCGGACGCCATCGCTTGACCTCTTCATGTTGTAAAAAGGTAAAATCACTAAACTAGCAATGTTCAACACTAAAGTAGTTTGATTTTAATCGGTGAAACGAACAGATCAAGTTTTATCATTAAAAATGCCTAGTAATGTTACCGTTTCTAATGAAATAAGTTAAATTTGCATTGCACCATACACTGAAGTGCTGAAAAATCAGTAACTATCAATTTCTAACATGGCAAATTGAATTTTGCAATCGATCCGAATTACTCGAACCCTCGCTAACTCGAACTGTTTTACGTTTCCCTTCAGAGTTCGACTTACCGCGGTTCCACCGTTTTTTGCATAATTAAGACCGTCTTAAGGAGCTGTGTCACGAAATTCAGCCAAATTAGGAAATTACAAAATGCCCGTTAAAGTTAAGAGAAACATAAAAATAACCGCTTAAAACTTTTAAGTAAGGTTAAAATAACATAACAGAAACAACAGATGCAACGGATGGGCAGAACTGAAGAAGATGGAAACGGATTAAAATTTAGGGGTTTTGAAAACTGTTCAGCCTAACAGTTTTCAAAGTAGATCCCTGCTGCTTGCAACTTCAAAAATAATGCTCAGGTGACATATTTGTTTGTCTCGGATCTCTGATTTTGTCATTTACATCTAATTTCTCTGCTTACTTTAAGTTCCATAGCGATTGAGGGCGAGTAATTGGCAAAATTAAACAAAATGAACTGGACTGCCGTGACACAGCCCCTTCAGCCATGTTCGTCACGAAATTTATCACAACAGCAACCAAACTAAGTGAAAAATAAAACTAACTACTCAAATTATAAAAAGAAGGTAAAAATAATGACAATAGGAGGAACGGATGGACAAACTTCAAGAAGATTGAAAAGGTCAGATTACTTTATTTACTGTTTTTTTAAAAAACTTGTTAGCCTAATAGGTTTTTTTTTAAAATTGTTATTTCAAAGTTTGTTGTTCTAACGATTGAGTTACAATGCTTGTGAGACATCTTTTTATACGACGCTGTGATTTTGTCATTAAGCAAGTTCCCTTGCGAATAAAGACGCGCAATATGGCATTTCTTACAAATTGAACAAAACAATATTGGCGTCGATACAGCCCCCTCGAGTGAACTTACCTAGGCAAAATACAGTGATTGTGAAACTAATAAAATTGTCCACTCAAGTGTCTACCTTGTTTTATTGTGTTTACTCACTTGTGCGGAATGCCAGAAAGGCCTAACAGGCAAAAGCCATATTTCTAACTATTCCTAGAAAGAAGGAAGTTTTAGCCCATATTGAGTTTATGTTAAGAGTTAGGCAAAGGAACAAAGGGTCACCAGTTATAACTGTGACATTTAGAGTTCTGAGATAGTTTATTATGATATGTATTTAAATGTTTCTTACATTTGGCCGATCGGTGTGGAAGTGTTGCAATAAAGTAGAGAGACTTAGAACACAAAAAGACCGGGTTCTATTCTGGGTTGCCGGAACTTCTTTCCTCTAATTAGAAACAGGTTTAATATCGAGTAAAAATTATCTCAAGAGGGTCGAACATGGTAGCGACCCTGCGAACGGGAAATCCAAAACCGCATCCCCGTAAAACTGACGTTAACTGCTGAGTAACCATACCTTCAATCATGCATATAAATTCATCCAACAACTTAATTTTACTAAAGTTAAGGAAGCTTCTTTGAAGCCGGAAGGTCCTCGGAAAACTCTAAAAGGTAAGAGGCGAGTGTACATTTTTATAATGCTTACAGGTATTTTTCATTAAATACATATTTTGACAGCAGTATACCACAATTTCTAAGTTGATGTGAAACATACAGTAAACCGCAAAGTATAACATGCATATCTTGTTATCTCAGATACTTTTTTTGAGGACCACTTGCTAACTAAGTGGGAAATTTTTATTACGAGGGTTACGTACCCAAAAACCCAAAGCTGACTTATGCTTCTTTTGCTTATTGCGAATAAATAAATAAGTAAATAAATAAATAAAATAACCTTTTTTTTGTTGATGACTTTAAACTTCTTACAAAAGTCTGTGAATTTAATTCTGGTTTCATTTAAGAGCACAGATGGTCTAGAATGCCAATTTATATCTAACCTTCATTAAAAAATAAACAACAAGGACAAAAAAACGGATTTCATAACGTACTGTCCGGAAAACCACAAATTGCCTGTAAGGTGAGGGATTGTCAGGAATACATTTTTTGGTTTCAAGCTTATGTATGCTAATTATATCATCAAGCTACCTTTCAAGTTATCAGTTATATGATGTATAACTCATAGTACTGTCACCAATACCCAACATTATATTCTGTGTTTCCCATCGCCTTAATTACCTTTGATACATCGAAATGATTCAGAAAGATGAAGACAATAATGCTCGACAATAACCAAATTTATTACAAAATTTGAAAAGCATGCAACCGAAAATTATCTAAACTTAAGGATCGTATCGCCTTCATGCATGATGAAAAGTACAGAAAATTTAGCGAGGGATCTAACGTTAAGTTATGCAGCGCACTCGAAAAAACTAAGCCCACGATTGTACTTAACGGAAAAAATCGACTGTAAAACTTTCACGGAGAAATTTTTTGGCGTTAAATACAGTACAATACCGCAAACCTAACTTCCTTTTCGGTTTTTCGGTTAAACTGTATTGTTATTTCTGCCAAAAAGACCCCACCTCACGCAAAATATGAAAGCCGTTGGAGACATTAAAAATTAAAGTTTTCAACGATAAATGAAAACAAACCTATGGCCTGAACAAAGTTCTAAAACTCGCCGCGGCTTTGCAAACAGTCTTTTTCAAGCAAACATGGTGCAGGTACAAGATGTTGCGTCATGGAAACGCTTATGTAACTAAGGAAGGTTACGTGGACGGCTCTGTCAATTTCTGCGTTGGCGTGCAGCCACGTGGGCCTTGATCTACTACTCGTGTTGTGATATATAGTTCTCGGAAAGCAATCCATTGTTCAAACCTTTTGACATGATATTGCGCACTTTGCAGGATATTGATTGAATTGCGCAGTTTATAAAAGGTGGTATAATGCCTTTTGTTCCGTAATAAAAAAATTAATATTACGTAGGCCCATATTTACTGCGTTTATAGAACTATTGTTAAACGCTGCTGTAAGCAAGTGTCCTTGAAATCAAAATGTTATGGGATAAAAAAGAAACTTCTTTTAAATCAACGCATAAACTTTCCTTCGAAAACATACTTATAAATTAAGGTTTTTCCTACTGTTGCTCTGTTCAGCGAAGCAAGACTTAACTGAAACCCATACAACCCTGTCAACAATTTTTGTAAGTATTTGCAATTTAAATTAAATTTGAAATAAACGTCGACTACGTGGTCAGAAAGTATCAGAATTCTGGCTTTATTTTGAAGATTTTTTGACAAACCTATTGTCGCGCCTGACTTGAATGACTTGGCAAATTACAGACTGAGAATTTTCAGTGTTTCATGTCAGCTCCGATACAGTTTAGTTGCACTCCGTAACGTCCTAGTATTGTCATCCCACAAGGGAGGAATATAATTTATTCAATCACCATGGATGGGTAAGTGGTGGGGAAGGAAGAAGGTAAAAATCTTTTGTAGTCGTTGAAAAAAAAAAAACAAAAAAAAACGCCTATTTCGGCAACCAGATCGCCCTTTGCGAATGACTTACTTTCAATTTATGAAAATATCAATTGATGGGTCTTTAAAAAAATTCCTTTTTCGTTAACCATCGAAACGAAATTATTATTCAGTCAAAATCTATGCAAAACTAACGAACAAAGCAATCGAGAAATAGAAAATAAATAAATCATGATAAATTAATGCATCAATAAAAATACCTATTCCTGAGAGATTTGCTCTTAGTATTTTTACCCAGGTATTATTACCAGTGCTATGACCAAATGTACAGTTTATTATTTCTTTATTTACTTTTTTTTTCTATCTAAGTCGTCACGGTTCTCATTCTCAGACACAAAGAGCTTTTTGCTAATTAGTTAACATAAAGACGTCTTCTTCTCTTTGCAACGATATTTAGACTTTGGGGAAAACTGTTTTCGAGAAGAGGATCGTGAGCGCACTGGTCGAAAGTACCAATGGACTTGCAGCAAAGAAAGGCTCTTGCAAATGGGGATCACGTGACCGACAGGCAAAAACAATGGGCATCCCTTGGTGCTTGGTTTTTGGGACCCAAAGGAGAAAATGGGGAAGTGTTTCGGGACCTCTTGACGAAGGCTGTCGATTCGCATATCGGATTCCGTCAAAGGTAATTTAAAGTATAGGAGCACACATGTAATGTGGCCAGCAACAATCAGGCTATAACGTGTTGTCTTCATTTATTTTTCTTAAATGGGTAATTTATTTATCTTACAGACTTGAATTTTTTCTTGTAATTAATCACTTCAGCCACACCTATAGTTATTTGAAATTGTCGAAACAAGAAGCATGGCTTATTTGTAAGCTTTGCGCCATTAATCCAAAAGCCTACGTACAGAGGTCGCACAAAACGGAGAGGGGACAAAGCAGGCCGTATAGAGATTCTCCGAAACTGGTATTTTAAGCAAATATAGACACCATGAATGGTTTTATTCAACTTTCATTCGAATTAAAACGGCTACCGCGTTTCCCGCAGATACGACGCTGGTTCACGCACGCTCACTACTTACTTTTGTGTTAAGAAAATCTCGTCAGCTCGTAATCGTCCTTGTCTCTAATTACAAAGAGCTCTTAAGTTATCTAAAAAAACTAAGAGACGTGCCGGTGCTCACAGACAAATGGTTTCACACCAAAAAAGTATCACATTTATTCATGTTATACTCACCTCATCCAATAATTGTCCATTGTGTTCAACAGTTACTTTCCCTGTGATCCCCCTTACGTCACAGACCAGCTTCGAGAAGCAGGATCCTTCAACTTTGCCATGGAGAAGTTAAAAACTGAGATGGAAAAATTGCAGGCCGAATTAAAAAAGTCTGTTCCATTCTTCAGTTCAAGATACAAGGTAAATAAATCAAGAATTAATTACTTTCAAGCATCAATTCATCTATTCATTTCGTTTTTTTTTCTTTTTCCTCATGAAAAATAATAATAACCGACATAACGATATTGACGAACGTAACGATAAAGATAAAGATAAAAACAAAGCCATGATAATGATAATGACAGTGACAATGATAATCATAATCATAAAGTTAATGATAATCATAATCATAATAATAACGATAAAGATAATGGTAAGGATAGTAATAATGATAATAATAAAGATAAAGATAAAGACAATGATATTGATAATGACAGTGATAATGGTAATGATAAAGTTAATGGTAATGATAATGATAATAATAATGATCATGATAATAATAATGCTAATGATAATAATAATGATAATGATATTGATAATGACAGTGATAATGGTAATGATAATGATAATGATAATGATAATAATAATGATAATGATAATAATAATGATAATGATATTGATAATGACAGTGATAATGGTAATGATAATGATAAAGTTAATGATGACGACAACAAAATGATGATGATAAAAATAATGATGATGATAATGACCATGATAATGATAAAGTTTTGAAAATGAGAATGGTGATGATAACGACAAAGGTCTTGAAAATGATAATTGATACCACTACTAGTGCTACTACGGAGCGCGCTCCTATGCCTAAAGGGATCGAGAACCCCGAGAAGGAGGAACTTAGATGTTAAGGACAGGGATCTAGAAATAGAGAAGGGTCAAGCAGGACTTCCCTAGACTCAACAGCTATAGATGCCTTATTAATTGTCTTTATTTTATTTTATTTAAACATTTGAAAGAAACTTTTGAATTTTAGAGGCTGACAGTTTTTTTTTATTGAAATGAAATGTTTTTAATTCGAATAAATTTTTCTTAGTTAAGTTAACTTTTTCTAAGCTAAATGAAGTGTTTTTTAAATCGACAGGAATTGTAAATAGTGTTTTGAATGAATAGTTTTTTCTTTTTTTCAAGCGAATTAATTGTAAATAGGATTTTAATATAGTTAGCATTGTTGTCAATAAAATTTTTTCATTACTAAAAAAAAACTAGTGCTACTACTAGTAATGTTTTATTCAACTTTAAAAATATGTGCATAATTTACAGAAATGTTTGAAGTAAGAATTAAGCAGTATATAACATTAAGAATTATATAAATCATAAAAATACGATCACAGTGTCAATAATGATTAACAAATACATTCTTGGCGGCTCAGATGCGATCAACAACTCTTGCAGGCGGTCCAGCGTTTTAATAATATACATATAATATTATACATATACTATTACCACTACTAATAAAAATAGTAATAATAATAATAATAATAATAATAATAATATTAACAGGAGGCCATTATAATAATAACAAATAAGTATAGAAATAAGTAAGAAGAGAATTTATTTAAAGAACCTGTAGCACTTAATAGCCATAGGAAGAGGCTCACAAACTATTGACCCTTTTAAAGTTTTGGCCCTCATATTAAAAGGATATATAGCTTTTACATCTACGCCTTTGTTTATGATTATATTATACTAACTAACAACCCGTATTTCTTTTCCTTAGGGCCACGTTCAATGGGAGACAGCGATGCCAGCTAACCTTGGCTACATGTCTGCAATGTTGTACAACCAAAACAACTGCGCATCAGAATCCTCTCCTGTCACAAGTAAATACGAAATGGAGGTGGGCAAAGACCTGTGTGTCATGCTGGGGTATGACAGGGACAGATGTATGGGACATCTCACCGCTGGGGGGTCTGTAGCCAACATTGAAGCAATTTGGGCGGGACGAAATGTGAAGTACTTTCCACTGGGACTGCAAGAAGCTTTGTTGAAGGACAAAAGACTTTCTGGTGCCAAAAGTTACAAGGTACGTTTCCCTGTTTTACTTACGTTCTGGTTTATTTATCCATGCACTTTACCTTTTGCATTGTTTAAGCATAATGTGCACGGATAGCTTTGGTAGACTATATAAGAAAATACCATTTTCAGTTTGGCCAGCCGTGGAAAATGAACATTACTTACCGCCGAGAGTGCTAAGAAGGCACAAGGACCAGAATAGGAGAAAATTAATGGAGTTTCTGTTTTAAATAACTCTCATATGCCAAGTAAACATCTGCGATGAAATTAACTTGATTGAGTACTCATGGTGTAAAGACATTGCATCGTTTAAATCACAACCACTTACACTGTATAACTTAGGTTCTTTTCACTGGAAACCATTTATATTTTTTTTGTTTAATTTTTTTATTATTATCGATTTGCTCAACATTGTATGTAAGGTTACAATGTTTTGATAGTACTTAAGAAATAATTACAATATCGAACAGGAAGTCTCAGAAACCTTTGTGGTCTTATCGAGGAGACTCCATGTCAGTTTTCATCAATTTCATTTGATTATGATGACATAGACGATTTTGGCTAGGAAATAAGGTTTTACATCATCAATACTATGTATGTGCTTACATCGAATGTATAAATAAAATATTACAAATGTGGCATCACTGTTTCGTTCTACCTCTTCACTCATCAGATGAATATTCTCAATAAGTTTAAAAGAATAACTTGACCGACTATCTCTTATGTCATCCGCTAAGCTATTATAAATTATATCTAACCCCTTGTTTGCAACAGCAAATTTTCGTACGTTTGTTTTACCCAGGGGCTTATGTAGACGTTTATGTATAAACGAGTGTTATGATAATGGATTTCATTATTTTTCTTAAAATTAAATATTTGTTAACGCTCCAGGAAGTTGATTTTGTGAGGACTGATATTTTAGACATTCAACAACAAATTTATTCATCTGTTAAATATTGAGAATATTAAATTGTTGAAATAAAGATTTGGACAAATGATTATACTTTAAGAAAAAAAAAAAAAAAAACAGCATGATCCCGACAAGTTATTTTGCTGCAGCTTAAAAATCTTGTCTAGATTCTCTCGACTCTCAAAGTTTGTCTCGCTTCAGCCAGAGAAACATCGAGATTTTTTTAGTATTATTATAACTATTATTTCCTGGCAAAGAGAATTAACCATGTCCTGTGAGTGTTTAGTGACGGATTCATATTTTTTTCTAACTTTATTTTTCTCCGGTCAGGTTTTATTTCCTCAAAGAGGAAAAGAAGAAGAATTAATCAGCGCTTCACAGTGGGAACTCCTTAACCTTGATGTCGACACTATCTTACAAATGCCTTCAGATGTACAAGCTTTGGCAAGCCTCGAACATCATGAATTTATGGAAATAATGTCGAAGTACCTTTACGAGTCCATTGGGACACAGGAGTTTGTAAGGCGACATATGCTAACACAAAGTCCATGCATTGTTGTTCCAAGCACATTACACATTTCCTTAACGAAAGCAGCCACAATCCTTGGACTTGGTCGAGAGAGCCTTGTTTCTGTAGCAGTTGACGAAAACTCGCGGATGGACCCTATTGGTTGGTATAGTTTCTGTCCTTTGTCTCCATTTAGCCCCAACTTTTTTTTCTTTTAAACAATTAACAACAAAAAACCTGAAAACGGAAACAGAAAAAGTAACTGTCAGGTGTATTTAATTAACATTAACAAAATGCGTATTAACCAAGTTGTGACTTATATATGAAAGTGAATTACATTTACTTACTCTTTGTTTGTAATCGATCATCAGAGTAGTTTTTCATTGAAAGATAACATTTACTTTTATGAAATTTTAGATTTGAACCGCACTCTAAAAGAAAAATTGGATAAGGAAATTCCAGTCATAACGGTTGTAGCTGTCACAGGAACAACAGAGCAAGGCGCCGTTGATCCAGTGACTGCAGTTGTCTATTCGCGCGAAAAGTTTAGAATGAAGGTAAGGATAACTTGAACTGTATTTGACTTCATATCTAAAATTTCCTACACTGTCAAAACCATCAAACTCATCATCATCATCATCATCATCATCATCATGATAATCATCATTTCTATATTCATCGGGATCACTAAGATAATCAATCGTTTTCGGCAATGTAATAATTATATAGATCCCTTTTTACCTGGCACCACTTTCCTAAAATATTTATGCCATAAATTAGGTATTACTTTGAAGAATTGTCAATTTTAAAAACCCATGTCTTTATTTATATGAAGGGTCTCAACTTCAGCATTCACGCGGATGCAGCCTGGGGAGGATATTTCTGTAGTATGCTGCGCGCGCAGCCGGAGAGCAGTCCTATGCCGACAGCCAAAGAAACAGGATTTGTTCCAGAAATGTACCTGAGTTCCTACGTCCACGAACAGTTATCAGCTCTCCACCATTGTGATACAATCACTGTTGATCCCCACAAATCTGGGTTCTGTCCTTATCCTGGTGGTGCAATCTGTTATAGAGACAGAAAGATGAATTCATTTCTGTCAATCACCAGTAAGGCGCTCTTTTTGCATGGGAACATGCTTCTTAATAATGTTGGTATCGAGGGATCCAAACCGGGGGCAGCTGCTGTAGGGGTCATGATGGCAAACAGGGTAACCATTTATGAATCTTTTTCTTTTAGTAATGTATTAAAAAAAAGTCTATATAAGACAGCCCAATTATTACGACTACTTATCGACAAAACAACAAGTTATTTTTCTGGCTCATGTGTGATATCATCATAAAAAATAACCATAGAATTTGAGTCAGTCTCTTCTGGAGACAAGTGAGCTTGATGCTTATAGTACAGTTGTTATTCTAAGCATAGGGTCAAAGAAGCGAAGGTTTTCGATTTCAGAAAGCACAGATGTGCGTATTCTAAGTAAGCTCGAAATTTGTCAACATGGATGTGAAAACCTTAATATGTGTGGCGAAGCCTTTTTTAACCCTCAGGTCTGGTTGTTCCGCTGGAAACGGAAACAGTAAACAATTCGAAAATTTATCAAAGTCCATTAAAGCATAATTTTTGTACCACAGAATTTATGTTTAAAAGAGGGATTAGTCGACTATTGTTCTTGCCAGTTGCTTATAGGATGTATAAAGCTTACTTAGTGTTCTTCAATATCGTTTCCTCATTTTCTAGGTCATTGGTCTTCACAAAAACGGTTATGGTCGTATCCTGGCTGAGTGCATGTTCAACGCAAAGATCCTGTACTGTCAGTGGGCAACGCTGGCCAAAGAAGACGACATTTTTGTCATCAAAACGACGATTCCTCTACCCAGTTTGACTAACTGGTCAGAGGAGGATCATATTACATTCATCAGAGAACGAATTGTCGGAAAAAGCAACGAAGAAATTGCTCGGGTAAATCTTTTAGCTTGTTTATCTGAAATCAAGTCACTAGTGGGACATTTCACGATATACCACTCGCAGGCGTTGCACAAGTGGTATTTTATAAGTCAGAGTTATTAGTCAAGAGTAATTAAATAGAAGGAGGTTTCGTACGGCCCAATAACGTCAGTCTAATTTACTACAGTGATTGCATTAATAACTTTTATACATAACTCTGCTGTTGAATGACTCCCGACAACTAATTCCTATTCTAAGAAAACATACGACAAAATACATGTAGCGAATAGGCAAGAAACTCTTTCTGAGTGCCTTTCACGACCTTAACTGACTACTAGTTATAGGTGTAGGTGCGACCAGGCTTTTGCCAGCTAATCGGATTTGAGAAATTTAGGACCAAACGATCATTAATTAATAGACCGGTTTTAGCTTGTATGTTTTATTTTCCAATTGCAGACCACGTGATCGTACCTGAGAGAATTGTTTCTTTCAAACGTCGTCCGATACATGTGCATCCACGTGCATATGTATGCATAATGTATGAAAAGACAAAAAGGAAAATCTCCAGGCGAACATCATCACGTGGTCTGAATAGGGAAAACGAAACTTACAAGCTAAAATGGTCTAATGAAAGTTTCATCAAAGCAGACGTTCAGGGTACTATTAAAGCCCTTTGTTATAAACGGAGCAATAGCACTCTAACTGACGTCACCCTTTGAATTTGCTTGCGGTGACAATTTTTTCTACTTTAACATTGACAGCGAAGCAACTCTTTGATAACACGCACAGCAAAAAAGTTAAGTACTGTTTTATCTTCTCTGTCGTTTAGGATGATAAAGCTATGCTTTACCTAAAGGAAGTGGGCCCTGACACCTTGATACCGTGTTTCGCTGTAAACCTGAAAGGAAACCAAAGCGTTGAAGTGTGCAATGCAATCAACACAGTGATATTCGAAAGCCTCACTCACACATCAGGGGAACATACAGCGTTTCGCATCCCAATGCTTGTTACCTCGTCAAGTCTGGTGTCCCACGTCCACAGTGTTGCAGCCACAAATTTCAAGACAAGATTAGGGGTAAGAGAAAACAACAAGAATCGAAATCTGGTATAAAGAGAAACCTTCTCGATTCCCTTTCCTTTTCGAAATTCGATTTATATTTTAAAAGATCACGTGATATATCTAGGACCATATAAATAACTGAAAATTATCGATGGTTTTTCTTGACCACAGCCATGAAAAGTGAGCCAGAATTACGCGTGCCTAAACTGCAATATGCACTAATCTACACATCTTTCTTTCTTCCTTTTTTTATTCAGCTTAACTCAAACAACGACACACCAGTCAAATATATCATAACAACTTGCATGGATCCCTGGGTCACGTCTTTAGATTTTATGGACCACGTGTCATCTGTCATGAGGAACACTATTTTGTGCGCAATTGGAAGGGTAAGGGCTAATTTAATTTTTAAAAACCTTTGATTTTAAGTAAAAGGTGGAATGCCCTTAATACATCAATGATTTATGACCAGCATTGCTATTTTCATCTCTCCTTTATATTCAAGGTTACTGATCCTACTGCCCTCCACAACTTTGTCAGTACGGGAGTTGTAAATGAACAGAACGAAGTAATCGCCTGTTATGTTGGAGATTTTAACAGAGTTCAGAAGCAGTACGAAGCAATTGTCAAGTTAAAATTCATGTGCGACAGGGACGTCGAGAAGTACATCGCGACAGAAAAGAAGTTGTTAAAGGAAAATGGTGTCCGAAAACCAATTGTCTTTCGAAGCAAACGGCAAAGACTCCATGATGTCTTCTTCAAGGATACAGGGTACTCTGGTGAATTGGAGGAGTTCGACTGTTTCATTGGTTTGCCTTCTGATAACAGTAACCACCCGTTTATGAGTCCAAAAATGAAGATCGTAGACGTTCCACGTTACGAGCATTTTGACAATCACGAATCTCCTGACCAAAGTTACTACGTCATGTACGGTGACATGAAAAACGTGTTTTTGTTTCACATCCCTACCAAGAGTTCTGACTTTTATCAGGTAACAACGCTCGGTTGATCCAGTATACTATATCATTATCATCATCATTATCATTTTTTTTTTTTTTTACTTTACGTCAGATCAGATACCAAAAGCTTCGAATCCTTCCAGGCAATAAATATAACTCCCTGTCAATTCATAAGCCATCTTTCCATTACCGTTTTTATTCTCAAGTAAAAAGATGCATGGATCAAAAGCTATTTTCGCTGAAAACTGAGGGGTTCGTTCGTAATGAAGCTGTGAACTGTGTAAGACATGAGATTTCATCACATGAACATTATGTAAATTACGTCACATGACCTCCTAAGACCACAGACTCCCAAAAAATCTTTGAGCAAAAATGGCAGCCATTTAGATTCGAAGCATCCAACTAAATTGCTACAAGACAACTTACAATATAAAGAACTACCAAATTGTGCTTGGCAACATTTGAATATGTAATTACTTTTGTGGATAAACGGTTTTTCTGACTAGTGCTCAGTCCCCCCATTTCAAGTGGTTCCTTTAATCACACTTTTCCTTTACAATATGTTAAATGATATACCTGAAGGCATTAAAATTATGCAACTAATAAAAAAAGGTTAAGGACACAAGAAAAAGTGTGCCCATAACCAAATTGGCAAAAAATGAAAGTGGGCTTGTCAGACCAAGTTTCAAGCTGCTACTGCAAAAGCTTTGAAAGAAAGACTACCCCCACCCACCCACCCCAATTTTTCGCTGAATAAGTGGAGACCCATGCTTTAGTTAACTTGAGTTATTCTCATTCTCATTATCACTTTCAGTATAATCATCATCATCATCATTGCTGAATAAAATAGTAATAATAATAATAACAATAACATTGTCATTATTATTATTATTATTATTATTATTATTGTTATCGTTATTGTTATTATTATTAGGGCTGATTAACAAATCTCATTCCCTTGTTTTCTTTTTTTTTTTTCTCGTTCTACTGAAGATTGTAGAACTTGATGGTTTTCCAGACAATGTAGGATTTGAAGAAGATGATGACCTTTTACTCAAACACGGAATTGAAGTGAAAATTCCCAGCATTCCTGGTGAGCCTATGATTGTAAACGGAGAAATCCAGGAACCCTTGGAGAAAAGCGAATTTGACATAAATTTTCTTGGAATTAACGGCAAAGAAGTTAAGAGTAATGTGAGAGTAAGGAGAAAGATTTGGTTTGCTCCATCTACACGAACATTTTCCAATCTCATTTCGGTCACTGTCAGAAAAAATATATTTAGTTCAGATAATTTAGCAAGACATTTAGTTGACCTAAATTTAAGTTAGCGAATTGAAATATTGTCAACTTACTTTGAGGCTAAGGTTTTAAAATTCTGTCACACTAGTTTTAGTTCTATTTTCTCATAGTAATTGTAACAAGAGTTTAAGACAGTGAACTTGGACACTGAGCTGTTTTCAGAAAATGGTTCTTTAACGACTGTAACGCAATGAAACAATCGTGGAAAAAAATGCCTTGCTTTTCTTTAATTTCTGCCGTTTTAGAAAGCTCCAAGAGTGAACACACACAATACACATTTAAATGTCATGATTATTGATGAATATGTCGAAGCCTGGTGCGAGCGGCGCGATTGCAAAATAGCACTGAGGGGCACGAGTGAAGAAAAGTTTAAATTGAAACGGGTTGCAATCGGGATTTTTGAACCTGTTTAGCCCGTTGTTTTTGTCGTTTGATGTACAGAATCTTCTCGATTAAACGCCGCAGATGGAAGAAAAATTACGGCGTTTAATTCGAGGATTATAAGAAAGAATTCCGTATAACTCGGTAATCTACTTAATTAATACTGTAACATATCTATACACCATCCAGACAACTGCGATTCTATCTCAACTTTTAAAAAGCTTGACTTAGGAACTTCAAAAATCTTTCTGTTTTACATAACGCCAGAAGCAAATCACTTTAATTGTGATTTTGAAATAAAACGCTATCGTTGGATAAACGTCTTATCAGAACTTCTAAAAACTCATTAAAAGTCACGGCGTTAAATCGAGTAAATACTTCTTGCAGCTACACTCTGGATAAAATGCTTGGGATAGCGATTTGTTTCCTTACTTTTCGTTCACAACAAGTAGAGGAAAGTAATTAGTTAAAAGTACCAAAAAAATATATATTTAAGAGAGTATCTATAGCTATAGGTTATCCTGGTAGGGTTTGTAGAGAAATTCATGAAGTTCACTGTCGGGGCATTCATGTAAAATTATTAAGGGGGGAATAAAGAAGATCTTACATACATTGTTTATTACTTTGTTTGCTTCTGTGTTAAGAACTAGGTATATGTGCGATAAGGTAAAAGGGGTGAGACTATCCCCACCGGATAACAGGCTACAGCGACTTCAAAATCTTGCTGTCGCGTCCTTTACCCATTCTAGTTATGATGCTGACGCCAACCAACTATTTAAAGAATTAGGCTGGGACAATTTAGAAACTCGACGTCAAAAACTAAAGGCTGAGATGGTCTACAAGTCCTTAAACGGCCTCGCACCGAATTATTTGTCCTCGAAATTCATTCAACGGAGTGATGTGATTACTTCTTACAATTTGCGCGATTCTGATAATAAGCTTGCAATACCATTGCCGCGTACTAACCATTACAAAAATAGCTTTGCCTATAGTGGTGCAGTCCTCTGGAACAGTCTACCCTCAGCTGCTAGGCAAGCAACATCTCTGACTAATTTCCGACGATTCTTAATTAATTCCGACACGGCATTCATGTAAAACAGGCTTTAATTTAGTTTACTTTTCCTTAATAGTTAGCAATATTTTAAATTATAGAATATTAATCTGTATACATAGTTTCGTATTTAAGTTGTAGC